CGGCCGAAAAATTACCCCATTGCGCTGATGGGGAGGAGATTTCTAGGGGCAGACTCCCACGACGGCATCGGGGATCATTGCCAGAACACCGCTGTCGATGGGAACCAGGGCTGCCACGCATCCTGGACGCCTGGAGGGGGCCCCCCTTTCTGGATTGAAGCCCATCGGGGCTTGGTCGAGGCCATCAGCTGCGCCGTCTGGGTGGACTCAGGTGGCGGCGGCGGCTGCAACGCGCCGCGCCTCTGCGCGGGGGGGCCCGAGCAGCAAGCTCGCGCGCCCTTCCAACGCTGGGCGCGGGGGGCGATGATTTGGTCAGTGGCGAACTCGGGCCTCGACGAGTTTCGCATGTCAGGCTGCGTCACGTCTCGCTTGACCGGCATTGCTCGCGAATGTTTTGGTGGGCGGCCGCCGGTTGTCCTCATTCATGGTGGTTGCATCAACGGATACTCAGCGCCGCCCATGACCCATCCCACGCGCAGCGTGGCCGAACAGTGGGACCAGCTTTGAGACGCGGCGCACGCCCCCGCGGCATTGGCCCAGATGAGTTTCGACCGATTGACGCAGGAGCGCATGGGCAGCCTCTTCGCCGGATTCCTCACAGCGCTGTGCGCAGCAGGCCGGTCAATTCATGATCGACTGCGAGGGGTTTGGTTATCTCGCGCGGCGCGCGGCGGGTGCGTCGAACGAGTTCGCCGCAATACCGCGGCGCTACAGCGTGGCCTGCGTTGCGGGCGCTCCGCGGCAGGCGCGCGCGATGGACCAGCGACTTGGTTATGCGATCGAGGGCTCGCTGGGCAATTCCGCCTCGGCCGCGCATTCGCCCCAGCGCCGCGCGCGTCTCACGGGCGCGCCCGCGCGCGATCGGGCATCGAGCCGGATCGAGAAGGGTCGAGCAGGTATCGCGCAGGGACGGCGCGTTTTTTTGTTTTTGCCATTGGAGCGCCCGGTCCGCCTGGAGCACCAGTTGCCGCCAAAACAAGCGCAGCAACACCGCGGGCGGCATGTCCGGCGGCGGGCGACTCCGAAACCATCGGCCCCCCTGGGCAAACAAAAACGCTGCCGACGACCCCGAACTGCGCGAAGTTCCCATGGGGCAGCACGGCGCGCGCCTCCTTGGGGCCTGCGAGAGCGCGCGCCAAGTCCCGACGGCGCCGCTCCAACCGCGACAAGCCCGCGCGCCGCGCGCGAGGGGTCATCGGGCGCCAGGGCCAGGGCCGCGGACAATTCTACAGCGCTTTTTGTGTCTATTTGTCCGACGCTGACCTCCGCGCTACCTTCGCCGGCTTCGGTCGATGCAATGGTGGGGAAGAGCAAGCGTCGGGCCAGCTGTTTGGGTTTGGCGGACAGGGCAGCCCACGGGGCCCAGGCGGGGCGCGTCTCAAGTGCCGCGAGTTCGACTCAGAGAGCACCTCGCTCGCGGCCGTCGCCGTCGGCGCTGGCACGGGCGCGCCCTCATCCTCAACGCTCCAGCCCCAGCGGCAGCGCCGCTACCGACGCCCGCACCCTCGCCGCATGCGCCCCTGAGACACCGCGGAGCGCATGGGCCGGCGGCTTTCCTGGTGCCTATTCGGCATGGGCGACCAGGGGAAAACTACGGGATGCGCGAACCCATTGTTCTGGGCCCCGACAGCGGCGACCTCGCGCAGAGCGCCGATCCCTGGCACGGCGCCCAGCCGCCTGCGGCTTCGGCAACTGCTCGGCCAGCGCCATCAGCAGCAGCTCCCAGCGCTTCGCCTGGCGGCTCCTAGCAGGCAGCTGGCCAGAGCCATTTGTCTAGTTGTGGGCGCTTTGTCACCATCATCCGCATCGCCCAACCTTCATGAGGCCCAACTTCTGCGACAACGCCAGGAGATGGACGGACCTTGTGGGCCCTGTGCGTCAGGACTCTGCTCTGTCGATGGATAGGACAGCTGATCCAGCGCTCCCGAAAATAATCCCCTGGAGATAATCAAATTCGGGGGTCTGGCGGGATAATCAACGATTTGCCTAGCGAAGGTGCCGATGCTGCCGATGATGGTGATACTGATCATGATGATGAAGATGAATATGATGATGATGATGAAGATGAATATGATGATGATGATGATGATGATGATGATGATGATGATGATGATGATGATGATGATGATGATGATGATGATGATGATGATGATGATGATGATGATGATGATGATGATGATGATGATGATGATGGTCGTCGGCGCTCTTGTAGACTGACCTTGTAGATCCTGGCACAAGACTGACTGGAGAGATCTCGAGTCTCGTTGCTACATCTTGCCTGCGCAAGAGAGGTCCCAGGCGCCCCTGGCCGAGAAATCTGTCTTGCGCACGACCTCGAACCACTTCGCCAATGCAGGCTCGGCACCCTTTTGGAGCCGTCCTGACACGGGAGGCACTTGGTGCAGGCCTGGGCGGCATCGCTTGCCTCCTCGAAAAACGCGCATAACTTTACAATCCAATCGGCCCCCATGGCCGTGCCCACGCGTTCCTGACTCGGGAACGGCTGAGAGAGTGAGAATTCCATGGTCGTGCCGCACGTTCGTGACTGGGGAAAACTGAAATGGTGAGAACCCCATACCCCTGCCATACGCTCGTGGTTGCGGAAGCTGAAATGGTGAGACCACCGTTGCCATGTTCGGCGTTTTTGATGCTGTTGCTAGCCAACATAAGATGATATCAAGTTCGATTCGCAACCTCTCCCGGTGATTGTTTATTTCGGCCTCCGCGCCCCCCTCCATAATTGAGTCCCACTGACACGGGAAAATAAATATTCAGTGTGTTCAAGGGGGGGGCATTATTTTCCGGGGCATTGGGTCATGTTGCTACCCCGCGCGACAGGAGTGGATTGCGCAGCAGTTGCTGCGCCCGTGGTTCCAGCAACATCCTAAGCACCACCATCCCCGACGTCACAGCGCTGGGCCGCAGTGGCCCGTACTCTCCCGCTGGGGCCGCAACGATGGCGCGATTGGTTGACTAGGCGACGTCAATGCCCAAGCCGCTGTGACAGCTACCCCGCCTGCCGACGTGCAGCTGCCGAGCTGTGCTTACACGCCATGCGTCTGTAGCATTCGGCATCGGCGCGCCATGTGGATCGGGCGCCACGTGGCCACCGCAGTCCGCGCTGGCAGCCGTGCCACCGCCGGATCCGGAGTCCCCCAACGATCTGGCTCTCACATTTCCATCGACGTGAGCCAGCCATGGGGCAGAGTGGCCACGCGGTTCGCCTGCCGCGACACCGGGATGTCCTGCGGCGTGCGATTCGAACGCAGAGAGGGATCCATATTCGACCGCGCTCCCCGACGACGCCTCGACGTGCCCCACAGCACCCAGCCAGCATTCGAGCTCTTATGACAGCAGGACGCGCAGCGACGACGAGCCGCGCAGAGTTTAGACCGAAACCTCCACTCATCCACCTCCCGCTCATCCACCTCCCGCGCCGGCTGCCGCGTCGGATCGCGCCCATCGTCGCCGCCGTCAGCGGCGACGACAGGGAATCTCACATCTATATCAGGGCCTTCGTAGTTGGTGATCGAGTTGCCCGTCTACAGTGCCGCCACACTCTGCGCCAGGCGCGCCGCCTATAGCTCGCGCGGGATACCGGCGCCAAACTGGCGCAAAGCCCAGCGCGCCGCGCCCCGGCAGACCTCATGTTTCAGTGCGCAGACCGTGCTACAACGGGCCCAGTAATTGCGTTGCCGGCCCGCGCGGCAGACCCTGGCATCCGGGCCCGGCGTCTGCGGCGCCGGCCCGGACGATGCCAGACAACGGCGTGCCAGAGCAGATGCCACCACAACAGGACACCGCCCACATTCCTTGGCTTGCACCGACGCCCGGGTCATCGCGGCAGGATCGCATGCAGTCCTGGCAGCGCTTCCAGTCTCGGGTCCGTTGCCGACGTAGCAGTGCCATGCAACGCCCACCTGGACTCGCATACTCAGCCGCGCCAACCCACGTTCCCGCGGTTGCCGACCTCGCCAGGTACAGGCCCGAGACCACCTGGCGAACACCGACCTTCCCTGCGGCCTGCTCGGTGTCATTGTGGATGCCAGCGCCTAGTCGAATCTCTGGGGGCAACGCTTCGTTATGAACCTGGCCGACAAAGCCATGAAGGCCAGGCTTCAACCCGCAGAGGAGAGGTTGACCCATCTATTCAACGTAGCAAGAGTCGACAACGGCTCACAGGTTGCCGATCGGGAGGTACACTGCCTTATCGCGGTCACCACGCGCGACAGCGTGATTACCCAGCGCAGCGTGCGTGCTCCTGCAGTGGAGGGAGACGGCTTCGATCTCCCTGCCCTATTTGGTCTGCAAATGTTGCAGTCCAACAATAGGCTTTTGGAGACAGGTGGAGCACATGAATTCCTCGTCCTGGAGGCCACGAAATCATTTTGAACCCAGGCATCACGCACCTCGACCTAGAATTCACTCCAAGTGGTCACTTACGCATGCCAGCTGAGTTGACATGTCGACCCCAACTCAAACCGCCGACGGGGGGACTTCCACCCAAGTAAACAGCTAGCACTACTAGTGCCTGGGACCTCTCTCCTGCACTTTTTCTTCCCCCTTGTCAATCTGCCGTCGATGCTGGAAAACCGTCCACCGCCATTCCTTCCTCCGCCCCCCCCCGATCCAGAAGCGAAACAAGTGCGTTCTCGCACGCGATTCCACGTTGATTTTGAAAGTACGCGCTGCGCGCGGAGTGGTGGGGCGTGTTCATGAACGTGGTTTGGAGCGCACGTCCTGTGTGGGTTCCCCACTGCTTCCCTCCGCCCCTCCCCTCTTCGTCGCCCTCCTGTGCGCTTCCTTCCTCCAGCCCCCCTCCGTCTCCTCCGCTCCTCCCATTCTCCTCACCTCCTGCTGCTAGCACGCTCGGCGATCGCACGCGTTAGAAATACTCGCTCCATCCCCGTCCTCTATGTCTTGCAGGCTCGCCACCTTCCCCCATCATTCCCGCCTGTTGTAAACGCCGACGGCCCATGATACCGTCCAGCTGCCAGAAGGAGGACGAGCAGCGAAAGCAGGGGAAGCTCGGGAAGGTGCCGGCGACCTGAGAGCCCCGCGGCCCAAGCCTAGACATCCGGCGTCTCGAACCAAACATCGAGGCGGCCAGTTTGTTCCCATTGCTGCTCGATGTGTTGCGTGCTCGCATATAGGTGTATAGATGTAATTTGTTTGTTTGTAAACAGTTACGTAGTTATGGACGTGCATTGATTTATATACACGTATATCTGTATATATACATCATACATACATACATACATACATACATACATACATACATACATACATACATGCATGCATGCATGCATGCATGCATGCATGCATGCATACATACATGCATACATGCATACATGCATACATGCATACATGCATACGTACCGCTCCTCCTGTACTGCTTTCGAGGGCCGAGGATATCAGAGAATCTTGCCATGGATTATGACTTCGGGGGAAAATCGGCGCACCGCAACAGAGTCGGTTTCGGAACAGGAGCCGGTAAGAAAAGGCAACGGCATCGGAACGCAAACGACCGTGGAACCAAGGGAGCAAATTTACATTATGGGGCAGATGAAAACCGCCTTGCTGTTCAAAGGCCTACCAAGTTCAGAGCTGTTTTTGCATGGTAGTCGGAACGGGTGTCACAACATTCATCAGGAGCGGCAATGACGGGAAGATAGAAGAGCGGAATGAGAGGGAGGAGGAGGAGCAGCAGGAGTAGAAGGAGGAGAAGAGAAGGTGGAGGACGAGCAAGAAGGGGAGGAGACCAGGAGACGAGCGACTTTGCGGATTCAAAACGAGAACCCAACACGCAGGATGGTTGGGACAAAACGAGTAGCATACCGCCCTGCCGCTTCCAAGGCCCATCAAGTTCAGCGCTCCTTCTGTAGGGAAGCGAACACTGACACAAACATAAAACTCGGAGGTCCACGCGGATTCCTCGAATCGGCGTTGTGGCTCCCCTGGCGGCACCTCCGGCACCGCCCCTGGCTCGCTCCGCGCGCCAGGGATGGGGGGGGGTCCAGCGCCGATCTGAGGAATCTGCGCAGACCTCCGAGTTTGCTGTCATGTTTATGTCACTGTTCAGTCCCCCATGACTGCAGCACGATAACTGATGTCTGCACAGCAGCGGCCGCTGCAGCGAGCAGCGGGTATCTGGCGGCAGGCGGGCGGGCGGGCGGGGCCACGCAGCCTGTCGGGCGGACTGGCGAGCGCGGCTTCCGCCGCCGGGCCGGCGGCGGCGGCTTCCAGTGGGAACGTTAAGGGGGGACTGGCTCAGAGCCGGCGACTACAAATGGTGTGGTGACGCCAGGGTGTGGTTCGGCCACGCGCAGAGGGGGTACAGGCGGCGCGGATTGGTAGGTCGACCCTTCCAGATCAAGGGTGCTTTCGTGTCCTGTGTCTTGCGACCCATGTCTCCTGCATTTCTGTGGCAACGTGGCCTTCGGAAGGGTCTTGTGTCCACTCGCGTGTCCTCTCCAATCCAGTCCGACTGTAGGGGAGGGGGGAAGGCTTCTTAGAAGCACCCTGCTTCTTAAGAGATGGAGGCCTTCTTTACAGATACATGGCAAGCGCCTACTTAGAAGCAGACTCCTTCCAAGAAGCCTTCACCCTCCCCCTGCCCCTCCTTGTGCGCGTCGCCAATACAAAGGGTGTGGTTACGCCGGGGTGTGGTTTGCTATCGGCGCCGTTGGGACCTGCGGGGCACGACGCTGTCATCGTCGGGCCTCCTCGGGGCGTGGCCGAGAGCTCTGTCGAGGTCCTCGCCCGCCCCCCAGAGTGCCCCCCCAGGGTCCTGGTTGCAAACCACCCCCCTCGCAAACCACACCCTTCGTATTCGCCGAGACTGGCTCAGGTGTCGAGGAACCTGCAGGGGGGAGTCGTATCATGTCATGTTTGTCCACTATTTATTGGCAAATGGTGGCCCAAACACAGTGCACATATAGATCTTTGATTCCACACCAGTCGCCGGGAGAACTGGCCCGAAAATTATACACTATACGTTGTGATCTGGCGTTTCAGTGAAGCCCCATGGGACAGGGCCCATCTACCTCAGTGTATATGGGCGCGGCTCCCACTTCACGTCTGGTCCTGCAGGTTTTCTGGCCTCCGAATGCGCTTCAGCAGCTTCGCTTCGCCGAGAGCGCCCCAAGGGTGCCAGGATCGTCCCGAACGGCCGCCGAAAGCCTGGGTGATGACCCGAAAACTATCGGGGAAACGTAAGACTCGAGTAAGCCGCAACTCGGGTTTGCCGACGTTTTTTGACGAGCGCGGCCTGGAGTTTGACGGTCCAGTTTCCGTCGGAGGTTTGCAGCGGGAGTTCGCGTCAAAGTTCAGGTTGGGTCTCGCAATTTTTTTACGATGGCCCCGTCAGGCCAACCCGAGTCCCCCGTACACGAGTCTTACGTCTCCCCGAAATTAGACGACGAGGATCATTGCGGGGGACGCGTTTACGCCCAATCGCCCGTGGATCGTCGAGGGGGGCCCGGCCCGACAGCTTGCCCCCGCCCACGAGCGTACGGCTTTCTGCTGTCGGGGGCCCACTGCCGGGATCCATCGGCGACGTGTCGGCGATTCCGGGTTCTCCTCCTCCTCCTCCTCCTCTTCCTCCTCCTCCTCCTCCTCCTCCTCCTCCATCTCCTCCTCCTTCTCCTCCTCCTCCATCTCCTCCTCCCCCTCCCCCAGGCGCTCCCAGGCGCTCCCAGGCGCTCCCAGGCGTTCCTAGGCGCTCCCAGGCGCTCCCAGGCGCTCCCAGGCGCTCCCAAGCGCTCCCAGGCGCTCCCAAGCGCTCCCAGCCGCTCCCAGGCGTTCCCACGCGTTCCCCCCCGTTGTCAGCCGGTAATTTGGTTGGGGGCTGTTTGGCAAGTTCTCGCTGGGGATGCAGACGAGTGGCAAAGCGCAGCGTCAGATGCTCTTTCCCTCTACTCGGCGAAGAGTCGCACTGCGACTCCATCGCGGGCCGCCTCGACGAGACTTCGCCTCACTTCGCGGCCGTGCCTCACATGGCAGCACGATGATTGTAATCTTAAGTCGGGCATGTCCCTCTACAGGAGGAATCTTCAAACATAGTCAAGCATTAGGCTGGGGACGATGTTTCGTGCATTTGTTTTGCCATCTTGGGTTTTGCTATATATATGTACATACATATATATGTATAAAAATAAATAAATAAATACTTATATGTATATATATATATATATATATATATCTTTTATTTCTCGTCCAAAATCGCCCTGTAGGGCGACAGGCCCGACTTAAGACCAGGTCCCTTGCGGGGGGCCGATGATAAACCACGTCGTGCGCATCAAGATGCGGGCCAGATCGGCCGCCCCCCTCTCCACGAGGGGCGGCGCGGGGGCGCGAGGGCGCAGAGTTCTTCTCGCGCCGCGCATCGCGGAGCCGCCCAGACCTCGAGGGCTTCTCCGAAGGGCTTAGGCGACCCGTCCTCCTGCTCCTCCTCCTCCTCCTCCTCCTCCTCCTCCTCCTCCTCCCCCTCCTCCTCCTCCTCCCCCTCCTTCTCCTCCTCTTCCTCCTCCTCCTCCTCCTGCTCCTTCTCCCCCTCCTCCATCTCCTCCTGCTCCCCCTCCTCGGGTCGCCTACGGCCCCGGGGGAACCGTCCACCCAGACCTCGACAGGACTTCGCTTCACGATCCGCGATCCTCAATCTTCGATCCTGGATCCTCGATGGATCGATCGATCGATCGATCCTCGCTCCTCGGTCCTCGATCCTCGATCGATGGATCCTTGATCGATCCCCTTCCCCGTTCAGAGCCACTCCCCCCTTGACATGGCTGCCCCTTACGACGGAGCCCCGGGCCGCGCCGAAAAAGACCGCCGCGCTTGGGATTGCTCCGGGCGGCCGCCCTCGGCGCCGGTTCGGCGACTGCAGGGCGGGCGGCTGGTCGCCCCAGACGACGACGACGCCTAGGGCGCGACAACGATGGCGACCATGATTTTTTCAAGCATTCTTGCGATGACGAGGACGTACAGAGACCGCTACCCTTCCATCTTCACCACGGCTGGATTCGCCTCGAAGTCTTGGTCAGAGTGCACCCGGGGAACGGTCTGCGGAGCAGCGGTATGGGTATCTGGTTGTTTCCCCAATTTCCGCCTTGTCGGCCCATTGACTGACCAAGAAGGTCCAAGAGCCTCAGAATATCGACCCAAGATTGGCCAATTGGCTCGGCTTCCCAAGAGCTCCCGAAAACTTTTCAGTGGCTCCCCAGGAGACTTCGGGAGGCCCCCAGAGAAACTCCAGAGGGGCCGAAGAGTGGCCCCGTCTCCGACCTTTCGAGCGCCCACGGACGCACATGTCTCGGGGGAGCGTAAGACCCGGGTTTGCCAGGACTCGGGTTCGCCATCGTTTTTTGACGACCGCGCCTCGGACTTTGACGAGGAGGAGTTTCGTGGGATGTCTGCAGCGGGAGGCCTCGTCAAAATGCAGGCTCGGCCTCGTCATTTTTTTGACGACCTCGTCGGGGATTTCCGAGTCCCCTGTACCCGGGTCTTACGCCCCCCCGAATGTCGGCGACTCCGAGAGGGGTGCGCCGACGTGTGGCCCCTTGGTGAGCAGCATGTGAGGACGGGTCTGCCCTCGTTTTGGAGCTTCTCTCGCGGCCTCGTCGCGCGCCTCCGGAGGTCCCCCCGCAGGTCTCCGATGGCCTCCGCAGGCTTCCCTGAGGAAACAGAAGGGCCACCCGATTTCAAGACGACGAGGAGGAGGACGACGACGAGGAGGAGGACGACGACGAGGAGAACGTTCAAATGGCGACGAGGACGACGAGGAGGAGGAGGAGGAAGATTTCGATGGCCGTTGCCCTGCCCCTCGTCGCCGTTGCGGGAGTCGGCCTCGAAATTCTGCTCAGAACGCACCCTTGCACCTCCAACGTATTGAGATGACACCCTTGCGGCAGCAGAAGCTAAACATCTTCTCACATGAGCCCAGTAGTCCGCCTCCTGTCCCTGACGATTATTCATAGTAATAGCCACCAGAGTTTTTAGCACGTGTTAGTGCCACTTCTATGGGCATTTCTTTTACACTTCATCTACCACTGCCACGATCACCCACGATCACCAACATTACAACCGTCGGTACGGATATGACTGTCAAAATGATTGATCTAATACAGGTGCGAATGCGGATGCTGATGTTGGTAACATCAGATGTACGTACCGTGTTCATCCGCATACTCACCCGAACACGCATGCGAACACGTGTAGCAATACCATATTAGTGTTCATGTCGTGAATATTCCTTGCACTAGCCACAGCCCGGCCACTAACATCACGGCTATTCGTACGACTATTCGTAGTTCGAATGCGAGTGCGAATGCGAATGCGAGCGCGAGGTCCTTACCCATCCAAACCGTCGTAGTGGTACGGGTATGATTCCCAAGCCTAGTGCACAGATGCTTACCACTATTGCTGCAACTTCCCGCGTTCTTGCTATTATTCTCGCGCTTGGCAGTGTTGCTTGTGTACGCTTTTTATAATGCAGATGTTAGCCAGTATGGTCCCCAAACCGCGTATGTCAAGCCATGTCGGTTGTGCGACATATGTGTTGCAACACAGGCGGTGCAATATATTTGATGCGAGGTCTATATACATATATGTAAATATATACACGATATATATATATATACATATATATATATATATATATATATATATATATATCGTATATACCGGGGGCCCGGTCCGGGGGGGGCCGCCCAGGGACCTCCGCATGGGGGGCCCGGGGCCTCACTGTCCCTGTGTTTTTACATGGTTTTGGCGATTTGGAGCAAACCTGGGCTCCAAGAGACCCCCTGGTCGCTCCAAGAAGCTGTGGCGGCCCTTGAGATAGCACAAAAACGGCTGAAGAGGCCTGCTAGCGAGTCCCAAGATGGCTCCAGAGATCCCCAAAAAAGTTCCAAAGGCGAAGAGACAGCCCGACAGGGCCCCACTAGACGCTGCTGAGTTTCACAGTGTGTTCCAAGGTTTTTGCGTGTCCGCTCTCCTCGGCTTCTAAGGTTTCTGCGTTTCGCCCCTCTCGGCATCTGCCTTGCGTGGGGTCCGGCGTTCGGAGGGCTGCCAAGGTTATCTCCGCGTGGCCTAGGGCCGAACGGGTCGTTCTGGAGCTCTCTCGGGCGCCTCTTGGCTCGTTTGGGAGCTCTGTTGCCGATGCTCCCAACCAGCCTTTCCAGCCACCCACATAGTGCGATAGGCTTCCCAGGAACCTCGAATGAGAGGTCAGAGGCGGAATTCTATGATGTTCACTGTGCCCTCGTGTGTGGCCTCCATTCATCTGCCTCTCAACCTCCTCCTCAGTCTCCTCCACCTTTCCTCCGTCCGGCGCTTGTCCAGCGGCTCGGTTTCCTGTTCCTCTTCCTGCTCCCTTGTTCTCTCCTTCGTCGTCCTGCTCCTCCTCTTCCATTTCTTCTTCTTCCTTGTCCGCCACCTCCTGTTGCCCCGACTCCCCCATATTCCCCTATGTATATTCTGCCCCTCGTCCTCCTGCGCATCTCCCCATTCTCTCTCCATCTCTCCTTCTCCCTCGTTCACGGGGACGGTGGGGAACGCGGAGGAGGCCAAGGAGGCCGAGGAGTAGGGGGAGGCGGGGACGAAGACAGAGCCAGGGTGCCCTTTGCTACTCTCTGTTGCCGCGCGCGCAGCGTTTGGCTCTGGGGCATCGGTAGCCTCTTCCCCTTCCCCCGTCTCTTCCTTCTCCTCCTTCTCCTATCCTCTTCCTCCTCCTCCTCTCCCTCCTTCTCCTCCTGCCTCCTCGGCCTGGCGGGGTGGCGTGGAGATGGCGCTCGTGGCTGCAGGCGGTCTCGCCGCCGTGCGTCGTCGTCGTCGGGGAGGGGAGGGTGCGGAAGAGGAGGAGGAAAAGGGGGATGAGGAGGAGGAAGACCCAGAGCTGCCAGCAGAGGGGCTCTTCGGGGCGGCCTTCTCCAGGGAGGCCTCTTCCAAGGGGCCCCCAGGGGGGTCTCCAGGGAAGCCTCCAGGAGGAGGAGGGAGAGAAAGGAAGAGGAGGAGGAGGAGGAGGAAGAGGAGGAAGAGGAGGAGGAGAAGGAGCCTCCATCTCCTCCTGCTGCTGTTGCTGCTGCTGCTATTGCTGCTGCTGCTGCTGCTGCTGCTTTTGCTGCTCCTCCTCCTCCTCCTCCTCCTCCTCCTCCTCCTCCTCCTCCTCCTCTCCTCCTCCTCCTCCTGCTCCTCCTCCTCCTCCTCCTCCTCCTCCTCCTCATCCTCCTCCTCCTCTTCCTCCTCCCCCCCCCTCCTGGCGAACAGCGACCGCCGGCCTCGGCCGTGCGCAGCAGGCGGGCGGAGCCAGCATCCACGAAAACATCTCCAGGGGAGAAGTGTCTCCCAGAGGGGGGGGCCTCCAGGGAGGCACCCACGGGAAGCAGGAGGAGAAGGAGGAGGAGGAGGAGGAGGAGGAGGAGGGGGAGGAAGAGCTATCTTGGGCTGTTGCTGGAATAGCCTTGGCCGTGCTTGAGCAGTGCAAGGCTGTCTTACGGGCTGTCTTGGGCCCCAAGGCGATTCATGGAGGACCCCAAGACGGCTCCAGACGGCGCAAGACGGGACAGGAACGCCCTAAGACGGCCAAAGAGACCCCCAAGAAGCCCACAAAAGGCCCCCAAGAGGCCCAAGGAGGCCCCCGATATGCTTCTAAGAGGCCTCGCACAGGCCCCCAAGTAGCTCCCAACAGACCCCGAGGGTGCCCCAAGAGACTCCTAACAACCCTCATCGTCCTACTTTTCCGCTTCCTCTTATCCTGCTCCTGTTCATTCTCCCCCAAGGGAAGTGTTCACCGAAAGCTTTCAAAACCGACTCGGGGAACTCATGCTCCGATAGTTTGGCCAAGCTCTAGCCCAAATTTCGGCCACATCGGCGCTTCCAGAAAGGCAGGGGGCGGCGGTGATTCGCCGTAGGCGTCTTCGATAAACATAATGGGAGAATGAATGATTGAGTATCCAGGGCATTCAGATATGTTTTCACCGTTTCAGTACTACGCATACTCCGTTGTCCGAGCCGCCTGCGCAACGCCGCCTGGCGAATCGCCTCTGACCGGCGGCTTGCGTAAATGAATCTCCGCGCAAATGCACTGAGGCGATCAATATCGGTGGCGCAGGCCAATGCACTGTCAAGAGCACCTGTCGCGGTACTATCGTATATGGTTCCCACTTACAGGTCCGGTGCATGGCAGCGCCGGGATGCCATGCACCCATGTGATCGAAAGCGCCTGCGCCCATGTCTCGCGAAACAAACGCCTGCGCTGTTCTTAGCAAAAGGAACCCTCCATCTGATGCCAGCGTTTTGTCACGATTTTGTTTTGCGCGTTCCCACACTGGCACACAATCTGCACACGCTCCAGGAAACCCTCCTTTCCCGAACCTGTTGGCCACAAGGCCTCTCATGGCCTCGTTCGGCATGAACTCTACGAAATTATGAACCTGACTATAATTTTCTGACGCCTTACATTGAAACACTTTAAGCCTAACTGGCCACCGGAAGAGGCGTGTCCAAAGCAGCCGCGGCGCGCTTGCTTGTAGGTTTTTCCCTTAGACGCGTGAGGGCCCCAGTTTCGGCCGTCTTTCCCTCCAAGGCGGTTCGTGGACAATTCTGAAATCCAACTCTGCTGGGGAGCGGGGATCGGGACCCTGAGAGACTACTCGCTCGGCCCCATGGAAGCAATTTTGGAGCCATCTTGGGCTGTTGCTGGAATAGCCTTGGCCGCGCTCGAGCTGCGTAGGGCTGTCTTACGGGCTGTCTCGAGCCCCAAGACGATTCATGGAGGACCCCAAAATGCAACTCCTCGCTGGGGAGTTAGATTTGGCGCGCTCAGA